AGCGCATACCCCCACTAGTATAGTGGCGCAGGTTCAGAGGGGAAATCTGTTGTTTCATTAGTTTGCTGTTGATGGGCCTACAGTAGTTTAACAAAAGAGATATTAATTTCCAATTTCTGCCCTGAAATACTAGTCTGGATTAGGTGCAACAAATGAGTCAAGACTAAGAACAGTAACACTCATACAGCATTTTTCTTCCCAAATCTCACAGCACATTGCACAGAATGACATGCATCATTGTCAAACGTGCATAGAAGGGGAATCTGCAACTGATTTGCTCAAGGCTCTGCAAAACACCAGTAGAAAAACTACCAGTGACATTATATGGTCCTTTTCCTTCTGAAATTGCTTATTTACTGATGGGGAGCAGAACAAGGAGAAAGCAAGGCTGCAGCTCCACAGCTGGTAGTAGGCAGGTGGGACAGTTCTGCTCTCTGTGGCCTCGAGCACTTGAGTCCAGAAGCCATGCCCTGGGAAGGTACGAGAACTGATGCATCTCACGTCTTGGCAGGCTGTTGTGACTCTGCTAGCTTAGCCAAGTGACTGCTCAATCAGCTATATTTGTCTTACTTGTTCAAAAGATGGAGAACAGTTTGTCTTGTCTTGTCTTGTCTTGTCTTGACCACATGCCAAAGCTACTGGTCCAGGAGGAAGTGGGACCTAAGCATCTTTAGCATCTCAACCACAGAAACATCCACACCTCTGCCTTGAATAACAGGTCCCCTAACTAACAGATCAAACTGTTAATTAATTAATAATCCTTTTTTTTACAAAGTACTTTCTATACTTTGACATTGCAACACTATACCAGAATTGAAATGGTCTTGGGAAGGAGAGGGAGTAAGGGGCTGCATACCAGATCAACAAAGTATTAGCAATTTCAACAGAACTAGAAAGCCTCGAAAAGTGAGTGTGAATGACTTGCCAAAGGTTAACCATGGATGCTGCGCAGAGAGGGTGGGGAAGGGCAGGCAAGTGAGCAGCCTTCCCTATGAGACCATTCGCTCTATACTGTTAATGCCAGGAGGGTACAAGGCCATGGGATGTAACAAAAGCGATAAGCACTGAACAAAGTCTATTATTTTGTCCTGCCTTTTATGATAAAATTCACATTTAGCCTATGTAATACTGAGATAAAAGACTGTGCGTAAGCAAGGTGCAGACACTGCTCTAATGTGTTTGGAAAGTATAATTATATTTTCCTGTTAGAAATGCAGAGATGTAACTTTATTTTTTCTTTTTAATGAAACAAAATTTTAATGGATTTAATTTGATTTCAAATATTGACTGCCTCAATATATGCAATAAATCCTGATGGACACCAGGACAATTCACTGTACCATGCTGTCATCAAAAAAACAGATGAACTGAACCCAATCAGGTTGCTGTAATTATTACAGAACTGGAAATAGACTGGATCTTCAAAGATGCTTTTTAAAGAAAACATACTTTTAAAATCAAGTACAGCTGCTGCTGCTGAGCCCATGATAAAATTCTTTATTTAAAGAAGCCTTTCATCAAAACCTGGCAAATTCAGATGATTGTCACTTTGGGTAGGTAGGTCTGCTTTTTTTCAATTGAGAGCAAAATGAAAGTGTGCAACGGGATGAGAGCAAAGATGCGGGCTGTATTTAAGCTAACAGACCTCCTGACAGCTTGGGGATTTTCCCTGTGTTTTATGTTCAGAAAAATGAGCACAGTATATGGGCTTTGCTGATAAGAGTAGAAAAATGAATTGGCAGGCACTTCCCCAGACAAGACAGAAAAGCAGTGTTTGAACACAGCTGAAATTATAGAATCATAAGATCGCTCAGGTTGGGAAAGACCTTTAAGATCAACAAGTCCAACTGTTAACTTAGCAGTGCGAAGTCCACCGCTAAACCACGTGTCACGTTTAAATGTCTTTTAAATACCTACAGGTGATTCCACCACTTCTCTGGGCAGCCTGCTCCAGCGCCTGACAACCCTTTCGGGGAAGAAATTCTTCCTAATATTCAGTCTAAACCTCCCCTGGTGCAAATTTCCTCTTGTCCTATCATTTGTTACTTGGTGAAAGAGACCAAAAGCCACCTCACTACCACCTGCTTTCAGGTAGTTTCAGACAGTGATAAGATCTCCCCTGAGTTTCTCTTCTCCAGACTAAACAACCCCAGTTCTCTCAGCCATTCCTCATCAGGCTTGTGTTCCAGACCCTTCACCAGCTCTGTTGCCTTTCTCTGGACCAGCTCCAGCATCTCAATGTCTTTCTTGTAGTGAGGGGCCCAGAACTGAACACAGGATTTGAGGTGCAGCCTCACCAGTGCCCAGTACAGGGGGATGATCACTTTTTTGGTCCTGCTGGCCACACTGTTTCTGATACAGGCCAGGATGCTGCTTGCTGCTGGCCTTCTTAGCTGCCTGGGCACAATCTGGCTTATGTTCATCTGGCTGTTGACCAACATCTCTGGGTCCTTTTCCTCTGGAATCTTTTCAGCCACTCTTCCCCCAGCCTGTAGTGTTGCATGGAGTTGTTGTGACCCAAATGCAAGACCCAGCACTGAGACTTCTTGACCCTCATACATTTGGCCACATTGCATTGATCCAGCCTGTCCATATCCCTCTGTAGAGCTGCTTTAATAGATGATCACAGAACTGATGTTCAAAGCTCTCCATCTAATAGTTTTAGTTCTAGCTAAATACAAGGGAATTGAAAAGAGTCAGGAAGTAAAGCCATTTCTTGTGACTAGAGTAGCTGAAAGAAAACCCTTTGTTCTGAAAATAGCTGCTGTTTATCCATTACATGGCCAAGTCCTTGGAAGGTGAGGAACTACTGAATTAATGAAAACAGTTCAAAGAAATTTTGTTCAGAAATTTTATTGCTCCTTTTTTGATGGGATCAGTAGCAGTTAGAAAATATGGATGTTAAGAAGGTCTGGAATGCTCAGAAAATTTGTTTTATGTGGGCAAAAAAGAAGAATAACCTTGCAGTTTTCAAATTAAAGGAGCAACATCTGTCACTACAAACCAGAATGTGGTGCCTTGACTGTTCAAATCATTGCCTCACAAGGAGTATATAACTACAGCCATATCCCCCTCATAAAACACTAAGTTAATTACGGTCATAAAAGTATTAAAGCAATTAAAAAAAAAAAAAAAAGAAGACAAAATACTCAGCTTTTGAGCTGGATTTGGTAGTGCAAAATAAATATACGTAGTGCAAAAGAAGGTATCAGGGCCTTGTTGCCTTTATTGTGCAAACAGCTCCATAAAAGTGCACCAATATGCTGGATGGCATTTTACTTTGTAGATGCGCCTGAGTATCTGAGAGGTTTTGGGATGAGGTGACTGTGGCTACTGCATAACTTTCCTTGGGGGTGGTGGTGAAGAAAATATGAAGAAATGCTTACATGTGTTTCCCTGCCAAGAATCTTGCACATTGATCATGCATTGAATGTGGATGCCAGCTTTTGAGGGGCTCTTTAAATGAGAGAGAAAAGCCATCACAAAAAACAGTATCTAGAAGCCGCAGCCAGAAAAACTCAAACTGGAATTAGGGCACACTTGTCTAAGTCAGGCCCACACATTGCCTGGACAGCCCTGCAAGGAACCGCAGCTGCCTTTCCAGAAGATACACAGCACAAGCCTGGGTCATGCTTTGGGGCAGCAGGGTGCTCTTTGGGGGCCTGTGGAGCACTGGCAGCCCCTCGAATCTCAGCAGATCTGTAGGAGCACTTGATGATCAGGAGTGCAGGAGAGCAGACCAGTGATGACTGCTGCGGAAAGGACCCAGATGGAGATAACCTGTTCACCCTGAACCATACCTGGTATTTCTCCAGTAGAAGCAGCAACAAAGAGGTGACTCCAGAGAACGATTCACCTCAAACACCCACCTCTACTCGTGCTGGCAGCTTTAGATGGGTAAAGTCAGATGA